TTTATAGCAAAAATGTATAGCGCGTCGACCGATATAATCACCGATTTGGACACCTAGGACATTCCACTGGATTACCGGACCTGGGCAGTCCTATTATACCATACCATACGAGTATAATTCACTCGGTATTAATTGCAATTAGCGTGATCACTTCCCGTTCTTGCATTGTAAGTTAGGGTTGAGCTATATCAATTAAAATTTTTCCAGAAACATGGTTTTCCCCCACCAATATGTTCATATGCCCGATTTTACTCTGAAAAAAGGATTTTTTTCTGATACAAAGGGAATATTAAGGTTTTTCGAAATTATAGATTCTAACAAAAACTCTAAGTTTGAAACATCGAGGGACAAATATAAATTGAGTGGTTATGATTGTCTTTAATAGTTAGCCGGTAACATAATCAACATTTTGAATTGACTAAACTTGACGGATTTAATTAATTAGCTTGTTGAAATCACGGTACCTACCTATAAAACGTGCTACGCGCATTAGTGAAACAAAACACGATGTTGTTGCTTGCACTTTTGTGCAAATGTGTCAACAACTCTTTGACGCAAAACTGGAACATAACAGTGAGTCGGGCGTTGTTGGGCTTCAACAATATGCATATGCCGTGCAACTCATCCAGGTTTGAGATGTACCGCAATATGGCGTCGAAGTTCTCTTTGTCCTGATCGAGGCCACGCGTGTCTCCAATGCCGGGCGTATCGATTAGTCTAACGTGCTTTTTACCTTGATTAATAGACCATAAAATTTTTAAATTTGATTTTATTAGCATATAGAATAGGATTAACAATAACTGACCCCAATCTAATACATAGGCTTTCGGTTCTTGAGTAGCCGACTGTCCGGCAGCCATTACCTCATTCTTATCGTCGCCAATCTTAATTTTAACTTGCTTATAGTTTTCATCGGTAATTGTGAATGATGACGCTATTAGACTCAGCGATTTATTCTGCTCGGCATCATCCAGTGACTTAAATGTCATATAATTGACCAGGCCATTTATCCAAGTGGACTTACCCACGCCAGTTTCGCCCAAAATCAATATATTCATCTCTTTCATTGGTCGCAATTTTTCTAATAGTTTTGCCAAATCTTTATCTATTAATTTGACATGGATAAATGTTAATGTGTATAAATATTGCCTTTAAAATATGTATTAAATAAAATAACGTGTGGTAATTTTGAAGTCGAATATTTTGAAATTAAAAATACTTATACTTTGAGTTTACAAACAAAATAAAAACTAAACTGTTCATGGAGATTTAGATTTTTATATCAGACTTATAAGTGTAATACAGAATGTGCATAAGTCATGTACCATGTTCATAATATAAGGGCAAACACGACAAACGCATATTGAGTGGACCCGAAATCTGATATAAGTCTGATATAAAAATCTAAACAATCTCCATAAACAGTTTGGTGGGCTTTTTGTTTGTAAAATCAAAGTATAATATAAGTTTTTTGCATTTCAAATTTATATCCGACTCTTCGAAATTAAAACACTTTACTTTTATATTTAAATTTCAAAGTTGTGAATTGCTAAGAAATTTACCTGCGAAACTTAAAAAATCACCACCGTGCTTATCATTGTTACATTTATACTGGAAAGATTTATTTGACGCTTTCCCGCATGCACAGTAAAAATAGCCATCGAAACCATGCTCAATTAGTTCTTCGCATTTGTAACAGTGCCAGGTATGTTCATCCTTTGAATCACAATAGCCTGATAATGAGCCAGGACATCGTATCTCCAAAATGACACGCTTGTTGGGCTTATGTACTACTAAATGAACCGACTCAGTTGGCTTAATCAAACACCGGTCATAATTGGTAATATAATCGAGCAATATATTCTGGTGAATATATTTGCCATTCTTAAACAGGCAAATACGTGTTCCTGATGAAACATGTTCCTGGTCATTTAGCTCGGGTCTCATATCCAAATCGGCGGCAATAAATCTGGTCGTATCCTTTTTCCTGTCTGTAGCAAGGTCATTGTTCTGTTTAGCCAGTCGTAAAAAGTGATGCTTATTATCAGTCCAATCTCGATCCTTTGTGTCACTCGACAAACTGGCCCAGAACAAAATATAAATTTCCGATTGTAGGCGTTCCATTTTAGCCGTTTCCAGTGACTGGCCATGCCCGGGGGCGCCCACATATATAACGCCTTCGTGTTGTAACATTTTGGCGTAAGTTATTTTGTCGGCAATATCTTCGTTACTATTAATAAAGTTTTGTATTTTATTTTCCGAAAGTGAGCCCTCGTTTGTGTCGCTAATGAGCTTTTCCAGTTTGTCACCGCCAGCCCTCCCGGAGCGCACCTCCACCAATAACACGGCTAATTTTGATCTGTGATTAGTTTTGAAAATTTAAATAAATATCTCATAAAATAATATTGTATCATTGTAATACTGTAGTTGCACATGTTGTTTCACATAAAATTTACTAAAATCTAGCATTTAATATAACGTTTTGAAAATTTCATGAAAATATCTGTACAAAATATAATAATTATTACCTAAGGCTGGCCTCATCCGAGTCTAATTGATCCTTTCGGGCGCCTATACCGCGCACCCGATCCGCGGGAACGCAATATTTATTGGAATTCACGAAATCATACAAATCGTATAGTCGTTGCTTCGACGCCGCGATCCTATCAAACAGTTGGACGCACCGGACGATCGCCTGCTCGTCAATGTACTTGATCACTTTGTCGGCCATTTTGGGCAGACTTAATCGACTGGCTAGGGTGGACAGTGGCACCAGCGTGTACTTCAACGGTTTGCCCTTGCCACCATTAGCTGTCTGAACGAGCAAGGGCATTCTTTTCATTAGCGCCAACGACTCCTCAATTGTTTGCGGCAACGGCTCGTCGGTCGGCATAATGTCGCCGAATATGTGTAACGAATAATTGGTTTGTTTGCTGTCCTGACCGTTCCCGTAATCACCGCTCGCTTTGCCGCTTATATTGGCGGCAAACATTTTTAATTCACCCTGCAATATTGTGTAAATTATATAAATTTAAAATAATATATTATATTAAATAAATATTAGCAAATTATATTTTAATATATTAAATATATTAATTATTAATTTAAATATTTTAAATAGTAGAAGTCGTCATAAAATATTAAAGTTAATAAAGTAAAATGTGGAAAAAGTCAATATAGCACTTTCCTTATCTTAATTACTTTACCTGAAATTACCATACTTACTTTAATTATCATACTTAACTTCTCATTCTAGTTATTTCCTTTCCATTGGTCAGTTTAATATTTAAAAATGTTATTTAAAATTTACGCTTAATTAAAATAAAAATTACCTGGATGGCGCCTTCGATCTCCTTAACATCCTTATTCTCGCTGTTGCTGTACTCCATAGTGATCATGGAGTTGGCGCCCCAATCGACGCCCACCACCACATGGGTGGCAGCGGTGGCCTGGAGGGCGTCCAACGCGAAACACTCCGCGAGTTTGTCGCTAAATAGGTTCAGTCTCTCGGCTTTGGTCTGAATGTTATACAAGAGGGACGAACGGACGGCTCGGGCGCTCTTTTTGGTGTCCGCCAAATACCTGCCACTCCCCTCCAACTGGAACAGTCCGGCCAATATACTCACCTTAAGGCCGGCCTTTATCTCTAATTTGTCAAATTTGTCCGAAAAGGTGTCGGTGTGTATGTACTGGAGGTCGATGGAGGGGTTGTCCTGTATGGTGACGGCGCCGCTCTTTTCTGGTGCTATTTTGAGGGCCGAAATGGCGCAGAATGTGTCCGTCCGGGCGTCGTATAACTCGCCCAATGATGCCATTTGTCCGATGGCTATTCGGATCAATGTGTTTTTGTCCTGGTCCATTTTGATAGCGTTTTGATGAGCTATTACTGATATTAGCAGTATGAATTTACATCTGAAATTATAAGTTATTAATAATATTTATTAAATATTTAAAATATTATTTTAAAATAAAAATCAAAAAGTAAAATAACTGATAAATAAAGAATATGAGCAACAAGTAAGTTTAATTAATTTTTCTTAAATATTATTATTTTGTTCTTATTAATTTAAGTAAACACACTACAAATTATTAAAGTAAATTATAAAAATCTGCGTATAATAAAACACTAAAATTAATATTATAATTAATTATTGTTTTAAAATATATAAACTACAAATTACATACCAAAGTTTTAACATGAAATAGACATAGACTGCAGCAATTATATCTGATATGATTAGTTTGAATTAAAATAATTTCATTNGCAATTATATCTGATATGATTAGTTTGAATTAAAATAATTTCATTTGGCATACATTTAGTAGTTATTTGTAATTCAATTGATATTTATTTTTGTTATGACTGAATATTTTATCTAACATTATATATATATATATATTATTTAGCATAATATGTGTTGCTATGTATAATTTAACATTTGGATGGACAAGACATAAATATTAAGCAATATCATATCTGTAATCTCAAATAGTATTTGAGAATGGCAAAAAAATATTACCACATGATATTCATATTAAATACTCATGATATTTAATAATTTTTAGCTTATATTTAATATAAAATATTATAAGTGAAATTAGTATGTGCATTGAATTTATATTAATATATTTATTCACGAATGCAATAAAAATAGCCTTGTACTGTTGAACTCATAAAATACAAACAAATACTAATTTCAGAGTGAAATTTTCACTTAAAGTTTTTATATATTTTTTTATATTATATATTTCCAGTCTACAAGTCTATATACAATAAATATTATATATAGTTAGTATGTATTAAATATTGGCAAATTATATTTTAATATTATACTGCATTAAATATATTAACTATTAAATATTTTAAATAGTATCAGTCGTCAGAATTAATAAAGTAAAATATGGAAAAAAGTCTTTATAGCACTTTTCTTATTTTAATCACTTTACTTAAAATTACTTTAATTACAATGCTTAAATTCTCGGTTTAGTTATTTCCCTTCCATTGGTCAGTTTAATATTTTAAAATGTTATTTAAAAATTGCGTTTAATTAAAATCAAAATTACCTGGATGGCGCCTTCGATCTCCTTAACGTCCTTATTCTCTAATTTTTCTTAAATATTATTATTTTGTTCTTATTAATTTAAGTAGACACTACAAATTATTAAAGTAAATTATAAAAATCTGCGTATAATAAAACACTAAACTTAATATTATAATTAATAATTGTTTTAAAATATATAATGTACAAATTACATACCAAAGTTTTAACATGAAATAGACTGCAGTAATAATATCTGATATGATTAGTTTGAATTAAAATAATTTCATTTGGCAAACATTTAGTAGTTATTTGTAATTCAAGATATTTATTTTTGTTATGACTGAATATTTTATCTATATATATATATTATTTAGCATAATAAGTGTTGCTACGTATAATTCAACATTTGGATAGACAAGACATAAATATTAAGCAATATCATATCTGTAATCTCAGGTAGTATTTGAGAATGGCAAAAAAATATTACCACATGATATTCATATTAAATACTCATGATATTTAATAATTTTTAGCTTATAT